GAGAACAGTTTCTGTCAGACTTGTTAAGTCATGTGCGGCTTCCTTTGATTGCCACCGATTACCTTATACAGCGTGTGGAAAGAGACATGATCATCAGAAACAATGTCGCTTGTCGAGATTTAATAGACGAGGCAAAGAATGTGAAACTTTATCCTTCTTTGGTGAAAGTAAATATCAGAGCTCAACCACGCAAGTCCACTTCCGGAGCCTTATTTTCAATTGGTGGTCGTGGAAAGTCAGGCGATCCTCTTCAGTGTATTGAGTGCTATGATTGGTTCCACAACTGTTGGTTCCAGGTAGCAGAAGTTTCTACACCTCGAAGGCACGTGGCAGTAGCTTCTGTTGCAGGCAAGGTCTATGCAATTGGAGGACATGATGGCAGTCAACACCTTAATACTGTGGAGTGTTTTAACCCTGAAATTAACCAATGGAAGATAGTTGCGTCCATGGAAATTTCACGACGAGGAATGTCTGCTGGTGTCCTGGAAGGAGTGATTTATGTCGCTGGAGGTCTGGACGAAACAACCTGCTTTGATGCTGTAGAAAGGTAAATAGAAATTATCCACAAAATGTTTTTAAGATGTGCATATCTGGGCTCTAAAAAATCATTTTAAATACAGTGAGAACCAGATTACTTCTCCAGAATTTAAATGCAGTTCTCATATTGCATTGTGGATACCAAATTATTGAGAACATAGACTGCTCAACCTATAGTTGCAGCAAAAAGTCTGTTGTACCCCAAAATTCTGTCTCTATAACTATTGGCCCTTTAAATGCAAGCGGAGATCTATAGTGAGGCACATGTCAACTGCATTTTGCAAAACCAAGGTAGTCTTCATGAATGATCTGAACAGAAGAAAATTTCTCAATGAAAATAAGCAAGTGAGGGTTAGTTTTGGTTGACTTGGCTGACTGACTGAGTGGGTAGCTGAGTTGTTTTAGACCTATTGTTGTGTGTAATACAATCAACAACATTGCATGTCTTCTGATCTTCCTAAAGATATGATCCTGAAAATGATACTTGGAGCATGGTGGCACCTATGCTGATGCCTCGAGGGGGAGTGGGTGTAGCGGGGCTAGGTGGTTACCTCTATGCTGTTGGTGGTAATGATGGTGCTGCATCTCTTCAGAGTGTGGAAAGGTACAACCCTCACACCAACAAATGGAGCCGAGTTGCATCCATGAACCGCAGAAGAGCAGGTGGGACTCACTCTTAAATACTTTCACTCATATAAGCATTGAGCTTCTACCATTTCAGAATGTGGTTGAAAAAAGTATAGATGACATTTTTATATCTGTCTATGCTTAAGGACTTACTCTGCTTAGTTTCATTTTCTCAAAGTCCTTTAATCACCAACCCTTCTCACACCTTCTCAAATAAGAGCTCATCATCTGGTTAACCATTCCTTCAGAAATTCAAAGTCAACCTAATCGTGTATGCTGGGGAGTACATTGTATGGACCATTGTGGGTTTATGATGAGGGACATACTCATTCACATCTTAACTGACTGACCTTCTCTGGATCATTACGCATACAACTTCCTTGTGGCTTGTCAAGTTTGGTAAATTAAGATTAGGGTTAGGGTAAATGGATTTTTAAGAGATTGGGGTTTTTTTAACAGTGTCAAGAATATTTATAGCTATTATTGGAAATATATTAATTTCTGTCAGTTATAACAACCATAAGTGACAAAAATTTTTACTTTGTTTTTGTAGCTATGACAAGCAATTCTAACTGCCTTTATGAATTTTGGTCAAAATTTTAGATGATGGAATTGTTTGTTTATTTTGTTTTGTTTGTTGAAAATGGCACTGAAGCTCAAAATTGTCACTCCACAGGTGTCGGTGTTGCTGTTGTGGGTGAGTTCTTGTATGCAATTGGTGGATTTGATGACTCTTCTCCTTTGGATTCAGTTGAGAAGTATGACCCACGTACCAACCAGTGGACCTATGTGGCCAGCATGACAACATGTAGGGGAGGGGTGGGCGCTGGTGCAATGGGAGGACGCTTGTGGGCAGTGGGAGGCCATAATGGTGAACAATATTTGAACTCAGTTGAGTCATACAACCCTTTGGCTGATCTCTGGGAGGAAGGTGCACCAATGCATGTGTTTCGTGCAGGTTCTGGGGTTGTTGGAAGCTTTTGCGATGTTGAAGTGTTACGTAATTCACAGGATGCAATTAATCATAGATTAAAAGTAGATGTTTAAACACTAAGGTATTTATCATCAAGTTGTTGGCTTTGAGAAGGGGATACATTTGTACCTTGCATGAAAAGGCCAATATTTTGGCTAAAATTAGTGAAATTTTATTTAAGCATTCCATTAGATGCAATTCACTCTATCTGAAGTGATTCTTAATAACAATTTTTTTGTTAGTTTTTTGTTCATTTTGTATGTGGTATTCTGCCAACAGGCAAATTTTCTGGTTGATGTCAAAACCATATAAAATATTTTTATTTATTTTGATACTACCTTTGAAACAAACTTTGTAGAGGAAATTCCACATTATGTTATATTACACTTGTTAACGCCTTTATTTTCACATCTAACTCATTGTGATTTTTTTGTTTGGTATTTTATTGAAAACGGAATGTTTCTGAAAATGTTTTGGAACATTCTATTTACCAAAAAAGGACATGGGGCAAAATTTTATAGTAAATAATGATAGAATTTGGAAAAAGAGTTGAAACAAAGAGAAATGAAACAAACAACAATGCTAAATTTTTTTTTATGCCTCTTTACACTTAGATAGGAGGTGATGTATAATGTTGCTGTGGTGTTGATAAGATTGTGATAAGTTAGAAACAGTAGGAAACTGCATTGATTTTTTGTTGGCAGCAAGCTGAATAATCAATTAAAGGTTGTTGACTACATTTTTTAAAAACAAACATGTCAGTATCAGCTTATCAGTAAATTGATTATATAGCCAATATGTAAATTGTTGACTCTAATGCTACAATGCAGGTCTGGTAAGGTCATTCAACAGCTGTGCTTTAACATCATGTATGTTCATTTTGTGTACACTCTTGATTTGCCCAGTGTTTAGTCACTGTTCTTGATTTATTTTTTACATCAGAAATGTGTTTTTGTTGTTGTTGTTTTGTTTTGTTTTTTTTCAGACCAGGGAAGCCAGATCTTAGCATAAGTTTTTCAGACCGCAGTTACTTAATATGTGGCATTCCTAACTTTACATTGATTTGTTTGGGATAGTCTTTCACAGAATTAGATATTTTATTTTATTTTGAAATTTTAAGATTGCTTGGCCTAGTCACAATCATCGAAAACATATTTCAACAATGTTTGGCAGAATAAACTAGACAACAGTTTTTTTTTTTGTGTGTGTGATTTTCCCCATTGATAGCTAGTATTTATTAGGAAGTGAAAGTCAAAGGGAAATGCAGGTAAAATTAGTTTGGTCATTCCCTTTTTTTTTCATGATCTTAATGTTTGATTTGGGGAAGATATTGTAAGGAGAAATTAGATGTTTTTCACTCTGAGGGGTAAAAGGGTCAAGGAGACGTACCCTGCAGTCATTCAGATTGAATAGCATATTTAGTTTTTTACTTCACCATACACTGTATGCTTTTCGCATTCTGACTTGTTCATCTGGTGTGCATTAAAAAAGAACAAATAGTTGTGTGAGTTTTCTTTTTTGTGTCTGAGGTTCACTGGGAGAGAGTGCTATGTTATTTACTGGGGATATTTTATGCAATAATTGAATCATTTTTCACTGTGGTTTTGTGTTTCACTGTATGGTGGATATAGAAATTAAACTCTTTACCAGTTCATTTAATCAACCTGACGGCTTATGTGAAATTATCCTGCACCCAGGTGGGGCCATGTTGGAGACTTGGATAAGTTTTATTTTTGTTCTCTAGAGAACAAGTATTTGTGCCTCCAATCATTCACATTCCACCATAATTCCGATTCCAAGACCCTCCTTCATGATTATTTGGATTGTGGTGGAATTGGAACAGCTTGAAGTACGTGGAAGTAGTTACGTGTGGTAATCCTCCTCTCTAGCTGATTAATCTCTTTCAAATGCAGTAGTTTTCTTTGGAATGCTACAGATAAGAGAGCATTGTTTAATGTTTCTTGATACTCTATTTGTCTCAAACCTTTGTTGCTGAAACCTTTTATCAAAAGAATGTGAACATTGCTAAAATATCCAGTTATAATAAGTCTTGGATTTCCTTGTAGATTTTCCTGCAGAGACCAATTCGCAAGAATAGAGCTTAAGTTAGGATTGTAGGCCTTGAAATTTGTTTTTGCCATTGATATTGCCTGGTCAGAGTAGGGAGGGGGTTGCATTTTGTCAAAACCCCCTTTAACGGTAGTTATTCAATGGATTTTGCGGAGCTTCAGTTGCAAAGGGAGAGCTCCTGGGAACGAAATCAAATCATGAGACGGGCGCGAGAGAGAGACTGGTAATTACGCAATTCAAAATGGCGACCATCAACAGAGTCTTAGCTTTGATGCCTTCGAATTCAAGAACTTTCCTCAAGATAACGGTGCGTTTTACTTATTTTCAGGCCAAGTGAATTGATATATATGGATATTTTTTACTCCCTTTATGTTCTTTATTGAATTTTCTCCTTGATTTTCACGCACTTTGCAGCCAGGAGTCTATGCTTCGTCATGCAGTTGTTTCCTGTTAAGAAGATCCTCTAGTTCTCTGTCAGCAGATAAGAAATCCCTCATAGCCGAGGGACCAAGTCTGGGAGAATTTATATCAGGAGAGGTTATTCCACAGGAAAATCCCTACAAGAGAAAGAAAGGACAACGGTATAATAGTTTATGGCAAGAGAAGTTACGGAGCAACTTTAGCATTTAGAGTACAGCTGCAGGGTTACTTTGGAAGCAGTATTATATCGCTACAGTAATCATATGTCCTTAGTTAAACTTAAATTGGACTCTTCAGCGACAGACGGACGTCGAGCGCTATCACATCGTTTCTTTCAAAGATATTCGCCAAATTATTCAGCTAAAGCTTTATTGCGACTCGGCCGTCATTGTGATGTTTATATATTGTGTGCAAAGCTAGTGAAACTACTCTGTGTTTTCAGGCTCTGTAAACATTCGCACATAAATAAATAAATAAGCTTGTTTCGTAGATCTCAGAATATATGTGGAAGTGATGGTTGCAAAGTATAGAGATAAAGTAATTCTTGCCCAGATCACTAGCTTATCAGTTGTCACGAGGACTCTGTTTTCTTTCCAGACTACGTCTACCACCATGGCTCAAAAGGGAAATACCCACTGGTAAAAATTACCATAAACTCAAAGAAACACTTAGAGAGCTGAACTTATCTACTGTGAGTCTATTCATTTAAGTACTTGTAGTTGACACAATTGTCAATTCTTTATTTAATTTTATCAATCATCCTAGAATTGAGTTTGGACATGATTTTCGAAAACAAAGTTTCTTTGCAAAGTGTCACTCAGTTTGCAAAATTATCATAGATGATTGGGCTCTTTAAGCCTTGCAAAAAAAAAAAAAAGAGTAAATTTTTCAAGAGAAAAAAAAAGTTGTTACATTTTGAATTTTAACTCTGTTGACATAAAAGACACTAACTTTAGATCATTTTGTCCTTCACAGCCACAAAATTTATTTTTGTTGACCAAAATGCTTTGTACTGTAAATTTGTCATATAACCATTCAAAATCTTTTGTATGCTCAAAGGCTGGACTCTTTGGTCAAAATATTTAACATCATATGATATGTTAAGTTGATCTGTTTAAAGTGGTTTGTTGTTTTGCATTCATTTGTAGGTGTGTGAAGAGGCTAAATGCCCAAATATTGGTGAATGCTGGGGTGGAGGAGAGAGTGAAACAGCTACTGCAACTATTATGGTATATGTTACTCAAACTGGGAACAAACAATAGATTAAAATTATAAAAATTTTAGTGACATGAAAGAGGCTCGTAACTTGCCGTTAGTGTTTTTTGGCTATTTAGAATATTCTAAGATAGCATGTAACAAACATTAATGGTCTATTGATGTCTATAGCATACACTTTTATGGTGCACATACTTTGATTCATTTGGATTTAAGCCACAAAACTTGACATAGCAAAATATATACTTTAGTTGGATAGAGCAAACATTTATGAATTGCCACTAGAAGAGTTGAGTTGTACAATGACACTTCAGAAAAAAAATTTAAGTTACAATTATTTGGGTAACACAAACTCCTTTTACATTGTATGCCACTGTATTATACACAAACTTGATAGTTGGTTGTCTAGAAATTCAAAATGAATTCATAACCTTTCAGATACTTGGTGACCAGTGCACAAGAGGTTGTAGATTCTGTTCTGTGAAAACCAACAAGAAACCTCCTCCGCCAGATCCTATGGAGCCTGCTAATACAGCAGAGGCAATCAGTCGCTGGGGTTTAGACTACATAGTCATCACCTCTGTAGACAGAGATGGTATGTTGAAGTGTAACAGAACCACTGTGGTTATATAAGTTTAGGCACAGCCCCCACAGTAGCCTTATGGTTAGAGCACAGAACTCCAGATTAATAACCCTTTAACTTCCAAAGGTGATTCACATGTAACTTCTCCCTATAATATCCATTCACTATCCAGCAAACTGGTATTGAGAATACTCAAATGTATCAGGTTGAAGTTGTTATCTTGATCTAAAACCAAATTCTTGCAACTAATTTAGAAGGGAATGTGTAGCAGCTAGAGGAGAGAATTAACCAGCAGATAGAAACTTTATCTGGTTTATTGTTTTCTGTTCTTTATCAAGGCTGTAATGCCTCCCTTTCCCCACTTCCTTTCTCTGCCTTTTAAAATATATGATTTGTTTGGTAAATGAATTTTATTGCTTCTGTGTTGATTTAGATTTGCCAGATGGTGGAGCTGCCCATTTTTCAGAGACAGTAACAGAAATCAAGAAAAGGTAAGAAACAAATTTTAAACATTGTTAAATTTAGTGCGAATAGGAGAGAGTTTTATTTCAGTAACCCCTATTCCTTTGACTGCAAGGACTGTCAAGGAAAATTTGTCTTACCTTCTTTTTGTTGTGTACTGACTTTCTTTGTAGAAATCCAGGCATACTTGTAGAATGCTTGACCGGTGATTTCCGAGGTGATCTAAAAGGTGTAGAAGCTGTGGTAAAATCAGGACTGGATGTTTATGCTCACAATGTGGAGACAGTGGATAGGCTACAGTTGTGAGTTCAATTCATTAAATAAGACATTCATTTGATCTTGTTTTCTAATTTTCCAGCTGAGAGTTTTTTTAAAGCCATTTTAAAGAGGAGTGTTTTCAAACTGTTGTTAAAGATAATGATTAGTTTTCCAATTCAAAGTTTGGCAACAGATCCATTTCCATCTGTGCATCCAGCATTTCTGTTTAACCTGCTGATCATTTGAGACTTGCAGAGGACTTGCCTTTACAAGGGATAACCTTGAGACTCACTTATTTTGCCGTTCTTAAGCTTGTCTGTTAATTACTTTAATTTAGGTTTTGTTCAACATCATATGCTTTACATGAGAACTTAAGGATAACCTACTCTGCATAAAGCTTATTATTACTAATAACTGATAATAGTAATGATAGTTATCAATGCCATTATTAGTAGTGGTAGTAGTAGTACTTCAGTCTGCTCCATTGTACTCCATGGAACTCAGAGTTCTTGTTACTGGTGAGTGAAAATTTTGCCGTTTGGTTATAGGCTTGTGCGTGACCCAAGAGCAAACTACAAACAGTCCCTTGAGGTACTAAGACATGTTAAGAGAGTTGAGCCACGCATGGTGACTAAAAGCTCCTTGATGCTGGGTCTTGGTGAAACTGATGAAGAGGTTATACAAGCCTTGAAAGGTAAAAAACTAAGGAGGGTCAGCCACAATGTACAATGGGGCTATTACCAGTTATATTGTAACTTTATCTCTCTGTGCACAAGGCGATCCACCTTTCAACTTGGAAAACGGATTACTTTTTCGGGATTTGCTAAAACAGTCATGTCTGAAGCTTTTGTTCGCCTTACAGTTCTAACCCAACTAACGTTTAAGAACCATGATAGAGGATTAAATAACTTAGTTTACCTTTAATTCATCAGATCTCCGTGAAGCTAAAGTAGATTGCGTGACATTAGGACAGTACATGCAACCAACAAGGCTTCATCTAAAGGTAACGCCATGGATAGAAGTGTAAACGTTTGTAATATTGTTAAGCTGTGTAACAAGGTATGAAAGCTTCGAAGAGGGGGGGATGCAGAAATGTCACCAGTAAGATGAAAGATGAGTTGTGAGAAATATCCGGTACGAAGCTCTTTAACTGCCGGTTGGAAGAAAAATTGCCGATGTTCAAATCCCTAAACCTCCCACATCTTCGTAGGTCACAGAGTACATCACTCCTGAGAAGTTCAAGCATTGGGAGTCGGTTGGTAAAGAGCTGGGGTTTGCGTACACTGCCAGTGGACCGCTTGTACGATCCTCATACAGAGCAGGTAAAGCACAAATAAATAGACATAGAGGCTAAATTTGTGACATAAGTTTGACTCAGTGGACGGACTTTAGAGGAAGCAACACGGAGAAAACTTTTAACACCACAAACTAACCAGCAAGCAGTTAGTTATTAGTGTAAAGAAAACGGGAAATTCTCTGAACATTGTTTATTAGCGATGACGACATTTTTTTGGTTGAAAGTAACTGCTTTGGTCCGAGGAATGATAAAAATAGATATTACCTTCTCTTATTTCAAACAGGTGAATTCTTCCTGAGGAACTTGCTGAAAACTCGAAAAAGAAATAACGATAGCTAACACCAAACAGAAATGAAAACTAGCAAGTGGAAGGTGATATGCCTCTTTTCTTACGTGCTTACCGAACTATGCTTTGCGAGAGGCCAATATGGATGGAAGTCGTGTCGTTCAGGGACTCACCTAAATACACTGAATGAAGGAACTTTATTCAGTCCAGGCAATTCGGATTTTGGCAGCAAGAGTAATTAATATGAAAACTACAGTGTCTCGTTTAAATCTTTTTTTTTTAATCAATGTCACTTAGAGATGCCAGTATTTAAATATTATGGGAATACAGATTAAATCACAAACATCATCGATCCGATCCAATGAGCATCCCTCTGATAATTGACGAACGACCCCAAAGTGGAGCTTTTTTGCTGTCTATCAAACACCTAAGGACCATCTGTACAGAGTACACCCGGCCCTTGAGAGACAGATCATCGATCCTATCTAATAATGAAAACTTTCATAATGAACGGATAACTCAAAAACTGAGGTGAAGAGCAGATGGGACTTCATCAATGAATCCCATTGCAATAAAATCACCAAACGCACTTCAGAACCCAACTCCCCTTGAAAATTTGCATAGGTAATAACGCGAGTTCGAGTTCAATTTGGTGTTAATAAGCACGAATAACGGGCGAGTGTAACATGTAGTCTTTGAAAAATTTTTAATTTTAAATTTTTTTTTATTTACACCAAATTGTGCGAGATATCATCTTGTTTCTTGTTAATAATTAATGCGTAAACATCACGCAACGATGGCTTTGGCCACATTCAACATTTTTAAAGGACATGCCCTTCACGTTGTAAGTTATTTTGTGTTACATCAAGACATTTAAGTAATACACTAGCTACTTTTGGAAAAAAAGAAGTGCTCCATAAGAGGCCTAAGGTAGCAAACTGCTTTAATTGCCTAGGCAAGGTTTAACTTCAGATTTACGATGCATTGATGTAGCACATTTCTATAACATAACAAAAGCGACCATCAAATTCGATTTTTTTATTATTTTGCGCAAGTTGCCAACCTCAGCAGTTTATTTATCAGGGAGATTTGGGTTTCAGTTCTATCTGGCTTTCCTTGAGGTTCCAGGTCCAATAGTAATCGTTGTTTCCATAGTAACAGTTGAGACAAGAATAATAACAGTTGGTTAAGAATATATGAAAGTCATATATTTGAACTGCGGATAAAGACGTGAATGAAAGTGATCCTCGCAGTAATGTGCACTACTTAGGCAGTAGTGAAAATAAGGCCTGAAAAAAATTCAGGCCTCTACGGGATTTGAACCCATGACCTCTGCGATACCGGTGCAGCGCTCTACCAATTGAGCTAACAAGCCAACTGGGAGCTGGTCATGAAGTTGGTTCTAAATAAACCCGTGAAGTGATGAATAAATGGTTAAGAATATATGAAAGTCATATAACAGTTGTTACACAACCAAGCTCCCCTGTGAGACGCAGTACAGTGAGACCCATCGTGAATGTCATTATCCCAGTCCTTTCGTGAAAAAAGCAATACTATTATGGGGGGTGAGCTTGTCTTCTGCATCACCAGAATCACCAAACAGTGTGTAGTTAGAGGCTTCGTTTGTGACGGTAAAATCATTATATTTAGCATATTTGTTTCCATAAGAAGTGGTGTTAATTTCCACCCTCAACTGACTCGGGATCTCGGTCGGTTGATGAATCCTTTTCGTTTCCAAGCCAAAACTCTCCTCCGACGTCACCAAACCTGTTCTTGTAATCGTCTCAGTCTCTGTAAAATACGACAAACCATCAAAGCGTTTATGAAAGACGGTCCATCCACCACAATCCGTCTTCATGTCACAGTTCACCTCAAAACTGGTTTTGTTTGCTGGGTTGACTGTGCACACTCCACTTTCCTTGAAGCCGACAGCATGGAGCTCTGTGCAATCTCGGGCTAAAGAATCAAAATAAGAAAGTTTCAGTAAGAAAGAACTTCCCTGAGCTATTCGACATTAGAACTTGTAAAAAGTTTAAAAAGGACAAAGTAACTGACCACCGATTTCTTGCCGTTTTAAAGGTTAAAAAATATATTTTTTATTACCAGTAACTTAAGTATTTTTACGTTATTAACAACAAATATAATTTCCTTGAATAATTTTTTGGGTTCGAGAGATTCTATTTTAACAAGCTTACTTTCCCAAAATGACAGACTTTTTTTCTGTCTAACTAAATCTCTGATCAGAATTTTCCTTATTTCAGCAATTTTTCCGGGAAATGGAAATCAATTTCGAAACTGGTCGTCTTTTCGTTTTTTCTATATTCATAATCTTGAGAAGCGAAGCAGGTTGGATATGATTATCGCAGATTGGCATCTTCTTAGAATTGTTCTAAACATACACACATGTAAAAAACAACAGCAACATCAAATAATTCAACCAAGAAAAGAACAACGAGTAGACGAGGAAAGGAACAGAAGATGTGCATGTTCATGCACCTTCTAAAACATTCCACTATTCTGCAAGATTATTACAGCAAATATTGCTCACCTGTTTTCACAATCAGTTGCACCTCAGTCTCCACATGAACAAACTCGCTCTGTGCTGAGCAGATGTATGTCCCACTGTCCTTTGCCCTTTATCTTCAGTTGTCCTCCTTCCACTTCAGACCGGTCTGCTGTTATGCCTTCTTTACGCCGTGTCCAGGTGATGCTGGGTACTGAGTGTCCGTCTGCAGAGCAGTTGAGTGTTACTGACTGTCCATGGTAGAGCTCAATCTTCTCTGGTGGCTTGACAATAAACTGAGGCACCACATTGACTATCAGAGATGTCATGGAGTGTGATGTGCTCATGGTGTTCGAAGCTGTGCAGTCGTAGGCTCCTGAATCTTTCTTGTCTGTTTTTGTTATGTGAGAGTGTGGCCTTTCACAGTGGCTCTACCACCAGGGATTTTGTCAAAAAATTTTGACCACGACACCACTGCAAGGGGATATCCGCTGATTTGGTATGGAGGGGGCTTAGCGTCCTTTCCACTCTCAGCGGAGATTTGTGCGGCGGGAAGAGAGATGAGCGGCCGAGCTGCGTGGAAGAAAGTTGATCGTTAGGTTTTAGCAATAACTCAGCATATGATGGAATACGTAAAAATTATGTATGGTTTAACAAACCTTTCCTTTTCCTGCATATTCGATGTTTTTCATATAATAATAAGATATACTTACTTACGTGTAAGTTGCTGAGTGGGCTGTGAATATTTTTTGTTTTAATTCATCATGTTTTACACTGACAAACCAGTGGCTGAAGGCTTCTGACCAATAATGTATCACTCACTTTGATGCTGAGAACGGATTATTTGGAAAGTTTCGTTGAGGAAAGGTTAAATCACAACAAAGTCCGATGTTTTGGCTTAGCGCACATTTTTGCGAAAATTCGATTTTCATATGACTAATTTAGCGCGCTAATAGATCAGGTTAATTATATACGTACAAATACCAAATTAAAGAATCAAATTCAAGATAATCAAAAATGATATCGGTGGATATGAAAATATGCACTCAGATGTGAACGCTTGCGGAAACGTTTGGCCAAAAAATAGAGAAACGTTCACTCGAAATTTTTCCAGATTCTAGAACTTCCCGTTGTTCTTCTTCCTTCATTTCTGCGTCGTCTTTGTTGTGTTGTTCGTGCCAGAGACCTTCCTCAGTTGGATTCAGTTTAATTCTGTTGATTCTGTTGTGTCGCTTCTCCACTACAGGCGCGTAGCGTCCTATACGCATATACGCACATGCGTACTTGAAGTGACCAGAAAATTTTGAAATTTTTAGCAATTGTTTCTATTTTTAACATTTTACTTGTACGCAACCAAGATTTCGTGATGAAAACACCACTTTGATTAAATTCTAAAAACTAAAACAAAAGCTATACCATGTTCTAACTTAGTTTTGCATTGTACTTTTTTTACACTAAACAATACAGTGTTGTTTAGCCGGCGTGCAACAAAAAGGCGAGGTTGCAGAGGAGCGACGTTCCAAGAATGTTCTTGACAAAGGAGCGATGTTCCAAGAACGTTGTTGACAATTCCAGTCACGCTAGTTCTGACTATAAAATAGATTCGAACGCATCGATCTTTCCGGTTTGCTTTTATATGATACATAATATGTCAAAAAGATCCATCAAAGGTTTTTTCAATGTCATCCAAGACGAAAATAGGGGATCTAACGATGAAGAAGGTAAGCGGCACGACCGTATTGCCTGGCGGTGCCGTCAAACCTCTTCTCAGAAATATTGTATAGGATTATTTTACAGAAAATTCTCAAGCAGTGGCGGTACCCCCACAAGATATTTTCCCAGAAGAATCTAGTACAAGTCAATTCAGGCAGTTCTATCCTGAGAGTTCCACTGAAAGTGGCCAAGTGAAGGCACTCACTGACAGCGAGAAGGTTGCACTCTTGGAAGGAAGATGGGATAGCGCTGATTTGTTTGCATACAGCTTTCCTTTAAGGTTTGAATACAAGTTTTGAATGAAAGCATATTGCTCCACGATTTGCCATGGTATGAATTCTTCAATGAAAACTGATAAGCTAATAACGTCACTAGGCATGCCTAGACAAATTAAGTAATTGGCCTCACTTGTATATTTTTAGAAACATTTCCGAAGAGAATAGAAAGATAAACCCCGACATCATTGCAAGAACACCCTGGTTGAGATACAGCCCTTCGACAGACACCCTCTACTATTGTTACTGTTTATTATTCATCACCCATGATCGTTCTTTCCGTACTCGTGATTGGTCCAACATTTCTAAACTAGTGAAGAAGCATGTCTGCAAAAAAAGTGCTCATTACACTGCAGTAGCTCGCGGGGAAGCGTTTCTGCACACACAGCGAGGTAGTGCACCTAACATCTGTCAACAGCTTCACTCTCAAAGAGCGGAACAAGTTAGAGGGAATAGAATTATTCTCAAGTGTATAACAGAGTTCCTAGTTATGATGGGGAAGCAAAACATAGCTATCAGAGGTCACCAAGACGAAGATAACAATTTTATGGCGATACTGTCT